TTAGATGCTTTCGATTTCATGTCCTATGAGATTGTTATTGTTATAGTGTGCAGAAGGATAAACAAAATCTTCATAAGAAGCCGCATATGCCTAAAACCTCTTTCAACCAATCGCTTTGCTTCAAAGTTTCGGGAAAAGTCGCGTGAACCAACTTATAGGTATCAGGTTGGTTTACAAGACGAAAAACTAGTAGAATTTAGATCTAGTAGGCCTGAAAATAGTCCAGGCCATTGTAATGTATGAAAACCAAATTTATATATAATATTTACGTTCTAAATAAATCTTATATTCTCTTACCGCCTTTTTCTATTTATGGAGAAATTGAGTTACCATTGAGGGCGGAATTCGAAGGTTATATTGTCCAAGCGATCACCAATACATAATTCAGGCTATATCAAATCACTGGTAAAGACATATAAAAGTGGTGGTGGGTAAAAGAATGGCAACTTTTTCTGCTGAAGAATTTAAAGCTTTTTTGCAACACTACAGTAAAAGAATGGAAGTCTCATCACTTAGGATAACTGAGAAATTCAGTAAAATGCTAGATGACATCCAGGCAGAATCTACATCTATAATTCCTCAGATTTTGAAACAGACGTTTTGCAAATACTTCAGTGATGGATTTAGTGAAGCTGCAAACAAGTTCAAGAAACCTGATGAAATGAATCTTGTCACGTCGATGGATGAGAAAGATATTAACCTCTCCAATATCCACCACAAAATAGTAAATGATGCAGACATTCGGTCAGATCATGTTGATGAAAACTATGAAGTACCTGTCAGGAGTCTGCAAAATAATGTAACATATTTAGCATCATTCAGCCTTGCTACAACCATACCTCACAATGAATGTCCACAAGAAGTTCTCAAGGAGTACCAGTGCAAGCGCAAGCATCAACATCAGCAGTTGCACATCTACTCCAAAAGGTTCAATGTCCCTGTACACGCATTGGCTGACATAGTTGCTTCGCATGATAGTGGATTACTTTATCAAAGCCAACTTGTATCCATACACGAAAACGGAAACAAGGAATGTCTGCAAGCCAGCTACACTGCACACGTCACATCCACTAACCATCAGGCAACTAGAAAACCCTGAATCCATTCAAATTCACAGGTCGCTCACAGTTCATCAGAAGTTCAAAGTCACATCATCGAGGTAGTATATCATGGTTTTGATCATGGTGATGTGTCGCATAGAGGAGTAACTTATTATTCAGACCAACTACTCCTAGATTACTCTGGCTGAAACTGGACACAAAATCTCTGACTGCCATCTAAAAAACTGTGTCTTGTTGACAAACAGAACAGTATAGAAGTACTGCCTACTCAAAAAAGCTCAACTGAATCTGCTTTATTGAGGTTGGCAAAAATTATGTAACCGTGTGACTGTTAAAAATACTATAGTAACGCTTAAATCCTCACAATTGATTGGAAAGAACTTGAAGCATTTATGCAAATTTAGTACCGTATAATATTAAAATTCCACATTTAAAGCTATGGGAAATTTTTTTGCAAATACTTGTCAGTCTACGTATTTTGAGTATGGAAGAAAAGTTTCATCAAATACCCAACTTTAAAGTGACAGGAAACCATTCTCCTCATTTCCGACTACATTCCCGTTACTTCAGACTACGCCACAGCACAGATTCAACAAAAAGTATTCTGAAATAATTTGTTACTATCGAGCAAGGCGTTGCTTGTCAATCAAAAGTCGCCATTGTATTGTCAATCTCTATTTCAAGGGAGAGGTGTCATAGTGTGCAGTAAGATTGACGATATCTTCATAGGAAGCGGCATATGCCTAAAGCTTCTTTCAGTCAATCGCTTTACGGCAAAGTCTCGTGAAAAAAACACATGAACCAACGTGTAGGTATCAGGTTAGTTGATGTGAAGAAAGATTAGCAGACTTTAAATCTATTGGGCCTGGAAATAACCTAAGCCATTGTAATATATGAAAACCTAACTTGTATGGCTTGTTAACGTTGTCGTTATTGTTGTAAATTCACCTTCTTTTCTACTACCACCTTTTCTATTTAAGCAGAAATTGAGTGACCATTGAGGGCGAAATTTGAAGGCTGTATTGTCCAAGAGTTCACATGTACACAATTCAAGCTATATCAAGTCACCGGTAAAGATATATAAAGGTGGTGACTAGAGTTATATGGACATTTTCCTCTTGGAGCGATATTCCTTTTTTCTTTCTGACCAATTATACTGAAAGATTTGATGGTTTTTCAACAGTATCCGAATTTTTCCCCGTTGGACCTGGTAAAATCTACGAACTTTTTGTATCAGCTGATGAAACTTACCTTTATATTACCCTTCACTGCACTTTTGTTATTTGATGGTCAGTCTAGACTCTGGTTACATCCCTGTAAACATCTGATAGTTTCAATGAATATAATGATTACGTTGTTACTTGTATTGTCCTGCCGTTGATTGGAACGAACTGATGGGTCTTTATTAGCAAACGGGTTCCTGCGCGGATGCCTCCATTCTGCCTGTGTTTCAAATTTATATCGATGATGGATAGTGGCTGGTAGTGAAATCCAGGACGTGTGTGTCGTGACTCGGTGGCCTAGTGGATAACGCCCTGGCGTTTGAAGGGACTGCTGAAGTGTTCGGGTTTTAGTGGGAACAACATCACTCACTGGGAACCAGGTATATCCATCCATCTGACAGGTCTGAGATAGGATAAGACAAGCGTCTTGAGTCCCACTGCTAACCGGTATCCACCATTAGTGGAAGGCATTGATGTTGTAAGAGTATATGGACACATCGGTTGGTCAGAAGTCCAGTCTTTAATACAAGTCATACAGATGGGCACCATGATAGTAACAATTTGATACTAACTAGTCAAATGCATCTCAATCTGTGAGATTAACTAGTCATCGTTTTAGGTGGTTCCATCTACCCTTTAACTGACAGTGCAATAATATTTAAAAGAGATTTCATAATGTGTAAGTTGTTCAACTATAAGTAGTAACATATATACCGGATTTTCGATAAAAAGATGTGAATCAATTAGTTGTTTCGGTGAAGGATTCCTTAATTATTACGTAGAGTTGGAGAACTTCCAGCTTTCAGGAGTTGAATAGTGAAAAGCTTCCCTGTCATGACATTTTGTTTGGTATCTAACGACAAATGTCTGCTTAAAAGCGGCTCCTTTTAAGACAAACCAACTGAACTAACCATGCTTCATGTTTGATTTTTGTCAGCCTCTTAAGAAAAGCTCGCTGGTGATAATCATATTCAAAAGAGCTATTTTAATGACCGTTAGTGAACAAACTTATTCCAGTAGTTTAAAAAGAGGGTAGGTAAGTTGAAAACATGAAAGGTTTATTGTTCTGAGTCGACAGTTTTGAAGATTTTGGTAGATAAACTGTTGAATAATTTACTTGTTGTTGTGATAGGATGAATTGGTTCGAAAGTAGATTTTACCAAGAACTGATATGAGATGGGGAACCACTGAAAACCTAGTATTTCTGTACGTCCACTTCGTTCTGGTCTGGGACTTCTTAGTAGTGTTCACCTACAATTTCGCGATGGACTGAACTCAGGACCATAAGGTCTTAAGATGAGGGCGTGACCAATCAACCACTGGTTTAAGACCCAATGGTCCATAAATTTCAACTTATATCAGTTCTATTTAGTAGGGCTATATTATTCTCCTCTCCTCCATAGTATTTTATGGCTGCCTTAGTAGTAACTTTTTCTCAGGTTCCGTAAAGTGTTGGTGACAACAAATCTTGTTTCTCATCTGAAACCACAGAGAGAGAGAGAGAGAGGGAGAAACAAACTGACCAGTAGTTTGAAAATAAATTTATTAAATTTTCCATCATACCTTGTGTAGGCGAATACTACTCAGTGCATAATTTGACTGAGTCCTCTGAGGTCAAGCAACTTAGGTTCTCATCTGGTAGCACCTATCTAAATAACTAAATCAGTGAAAAAAGAAAATCCTTCTTAGTTCAATAATGAAGCATGCACAGTGGAGAAGATACCAATGATTTTAAGTACATTCCGACTATCAGCAGCCAGTGGAACTAGAAGATACTTGCAATTTCATAAACCAGTGCTACTAGTGGTATCACAAGAAACCTCTGTAAGCAAAAACAAATGGATGTTAGCCAAAATAAACCACATTAGTATTTGCAACGTAATTTAATGAGTTCTGTCTCTTTCCTCCCGTTTTTTGCCTAAAATTATTATTCAACGAGAAGGATAAGATGAGATAACTCTTTTCAACAAGTATATTATTAAGCTGTTCAGTCGTACTTGTAATAAATAAAATGTTAGATATTCACACTAGAAAGTATCTCAGCCAATAAGGCATGCGTAATTCAAAGGTTCGAATCATCAAAATGTATTCAAAAGAAGTATGTACAACCCCCTTCTCTGCCATGCGCATCTTCATTACTTTTGTTTTGCAATAACTTTTTTTAACGCCTACAGACATTATGTAACTTTCCTTTGTCACACAATTTATATTGATCTTTGATATGTAGGTACTCTGGAATGTTATATCCTTTCTACTATATATTCACAAGAGTGTACAGCCAAGAGAATGATTTCATTGAGAAAATTTTTCTTCGCTACAACCACCAAATCTCAACCTTTTCTGGATTTAAAATTTATCTACTTACAAGTAGTATATATTTAAAGCAAAAATTACACAAGCGTCGACAGTATAATGAGATCTGTTTTCTATACATATATATGGAAAACATGAATAAAAGAGTGAGGATCAATATTGTCTACTGACTTTGCCCGAATTCTAACATGGAACTGTCAACAAAGAGGGACATCATGTATCAAATTATTTTGACAAAGCAAAGGACTGTCGAACAATGAATGGACACTACCATAGACAATTGAAAATGTAAATAAACCTGCCATAAATTTGTGTTTGCAGATATGGTAAAAGGTAGTTTAATCTCTGGCAACTAACCAATTTCACACCGTTTTCAAGATACTTGTCTGCTTCACAGATAAAATTATATAATAAGTGTATTAGGCTCATAGTGTTCACTGTCAATCAACGAACCACCCATTCCAGTAACACCTGAGTCTGTCTGTCGAAAACTTGCTGCATTTGGACTTTCGTGCTTTGAAATATGCGTCATCTGTAGAAAGTTTGGTGAATAATCCACTGGAAGGTTATTATTAAACATGATTTGTTTACGTGTATTCGATGGTTGAGGTGATCCATGAGGTGTTGAATAGATTGAAGAATCTCCACCGAGCATATATATTAAATGTTTCGGAGGTGGAGGTAATGGTGGCGGTGAATCATCTGTTTGTCGATTCTGATGAATGTTTTTCATACTCATATCAGGTGATTTCATAACTTTAGCTGAAGGCACTAGAGATAAGGAATTGGACAGCTGGAATTTATTATTACTATTACTATTATTATTATTACTTAATTTTATTGATTCAGTAATTTTATTTTGTAATCGGCATGGATGTCGTGATCTTGGTGAGTAAGTTAAACTAGCCATATTTGTTTTTGGCTCCACATATGAGTTGATTGAGGTCTTCATAGTTGTTTTTGCAATAAAACTATTACAGTCATTATGATACTTTATATTCTCTGGTATACGTTGAAGTATTGGAGAAGCAAATGTAGATGGACTTGATCTATGAGTTTTATGGTGTACATTAATTCTATGCATAGTGTGTTTTGATTTAAACTTGGGTGATAAAAGTACATCAGATATTGTATGAGATATTGGTAATGGTGATATATTTTTACTTGTTTGTCCACTGTCTGTAGGTGTTTTCATAGGATAAGCATGAGTTTCTAGCCTTTCTACCTCATCATCATCATCATGTGAACTAATTTCACAGTTATCTTCATCATCTACTTCTTCATTCAATTCTTGAGTTTTCATTAATTCTTCTATTTCATAATCATTATGTTCATTTTCATGTTGATATTGTACAATAGTATAATTTTGTTTATTAACTCGATTAATGTTCAATTTTTTAAGCCAATTATATTCAGTAATTTGAAATGTATAATTATTAGTTATTAAATGATTAGTTTCACATAAACGTACAGATAAAATTATTAATTGAATTAAAAAATCACCAAATAAACAACTTAATTGAATTAATAACCAATTTTGACGAGTTGGCCAATAAATTTCTGTTTTAGATATAGAAGATGATATTGATGATAAAAAGAAGAGTATAATGAACTTGAAAATTTACCTGAATTAACCAATAACATTCAAGACGATTTATTGAATTAGTCATTAAATATGGTAATGAACAACACAGTTGTATAATTGCCAAAATTAAAATTATAACACAATCTTGAATTAAATAATTTAAACTATACTTAACAATATTTTCATAAAGTTTATAAAATTTAATTTCTTTCATATTTAAATTATGTAGAAATATATGTTGAAATTCATATTTAATTTTAATTAAACGTATAATCAATATTAATAGACAAACAATTATTGTACAACAAGGTATAACAAAACTAATTACAGCAAAACAATATTCATAGATAATTTGACCAGTTTTATTGATTAAACGCCAAGCTGGATATATTTTTTCAATAAATTCTTTATCATTATTACTATTACTAATATGTTGTTTATTAGTATTATGAATATTATTATATAATTTAATTTTTAAATTTATACCAATTAAATGATATGACCAAACCTGTGGTAAACATATGGCTAATGAACATGTAATCAATAAACCAATAATCAATATTAAACGTCCAATTGATGTACAATTTATTCTTTTATAATGCATAATATTATTTAAATACAAATTATCATTATTATTATTATCTAAAGTTGTTTGTTTATTTTCATTTGAATTATATAAATGATTTGGTTTACAAAAAAAACAGATATATTCATTTTCTATATGATAATTTGTTTGTTTACATATTGGACATGATTGAATTGTTGTACACTTTTGTATTGAACAATATTTTTGAATAAATTTCAAAAATATTTGAAATATTGAATTGATTTTTGTATTTTCTATTATACTTTTATTTGTATAATTATTATTTATATTAGTTATCATTGTTTTTATATAATGATTTTCATTAATTTTTTCTTTCGTTAGCATATATATATAGTTTACATAATGACTAAATGATTTTGTCATTGGATTAACATATAATTCACCTAATATATAAATACGATCAATTATTAAGCCGATAGTTAACCAACATAATGTTAAACGTAATACAATTTGCATTGTTAACATTGCAGGTAATTGTGTAATAAATTTCGGTGTACTATTATTATTATTATTATTATATATATCCATATTTGAAAGTGTATTATATTGATGAGTAGAATTTAAATCTGTATTTAATTGATTTTTATCGATTATTTGATAATTTGTTAATGTGGTATATTGTCCAATTGACATTGGTATATAACGTGGTAAACTTGATAACCATATTAATGAAGAATTTATACCTGTGAGCACATAGAATACAATTAAATATTGAGATAATCTTTGTATATATGGACGTGTATATAATGTATACTTTGGACAAGTATAATATTTTGATTCATGAAATATATTAACAAGTGTAAACAATGTTGTCGCTGCTGGTATCAATGGTAAACTAAAATAAAAGATAATTTGTAAAATATATTGTATACTATCAGTTGAATTATCAATGAAATTTTCATTTGAATTACTGAATTGATTTTTTGAATGTATAACAGATGATAAATATAATTGATTCATTGCTTCATTTAAATTAACTGGTCTTACAGGCTTTAATAACCAGTCTTGTATTAATAAACCAGAATTAGTAAATGTCCAATACATACAACTTGGTAAAGTTGCCATTGATTTATACCTTACTTAATTATTGTTTTAAATGATTAATTGATTTTTATTTCTAACGGTTAATTCTTTAAAAATAATATTTATATGTGAACGAATAGTGGGTGATATAAAAATCTCATTTTATTTTTGTAATTGAATGCTATTCATACTGAATGAAGTAAATGACTTATATTTACAAAAAGTGGATTCTAATAAAATAGGTAAAATGATGACTTGGAAGTTTAATTTGATCAACCACGCAAAGTTATGTGATTGGGCATTTTTTTTACTAGCTGCTGATTGGTTAAACAAATATTCTCTCCCAAATTTTACTAGTTTGCACGAAAAGGGAGCGAAATAAGCATTTGAAAGTGAAATAATTAAAATGTATTGTTAACCAAAGGTCATTGGTTCGAATTCTAACCAAACCCAGATCTTCAACTTCAATCATGTCTACCAAACCACCACTATCTTCAAGATTCGGTGTAAACAATATAGTCTATTTGATGGCTAACATTAAAAAGCTAGTCGTGTGCTTTATCCCATTCGGGACCCACTGCTGGATGTATCCTCACCTTAATGACTGTTGTCCCCCCTGGGACTCGAACCTAGAACCCATCTCATCAGTGGCCAAAGTGTTGCCCACTAAGCTGTTGGACCACAACAGCCACGACTTGTGCAACCAATATTAGGGATCATCTGTGATACCTCCACATTTAAGACGTACTGGAACCCATTTGATAACAAACCTCGAGCAATTCGACCCAGTATAGTAGTGGGATGCTACATGTATCAAAAACTAGGTGGATAATTGGAAAACTGCATTTTTTTTTGTCAAAGTCTGATTTTATCCAACCTTTATCTACCATGACGTTACCATAAAAAATAGACAAACATGAAATGGCTATGCCATTTCCAAGTGACAGTTATATATGCAGTTGAGTAGTCTAGTAAATTAAAACTGCTTAGTAAATTAGGATTAAAGTTATAAGACACTCCGGAGGTTTGTGGGGACTTATTTATTCATTTCAACTTGTTGTTCATCATGAAGTGATGTAAGTTGGAGGGTCTATCAGAAACCTGGGAGCACAAGACAGGTGTTTCGTCCTGGCGTGGGACTCCTCAGCAGTGCGCAACCATGACCTAACCAGGGCTAGAATCGAGGACTTTCTGGTTGCGCGGTCAGCAAATGTTAACACAGATAAACCTAATTCCTGATGCTACTTCAAACTGTTAAACTAGGAAATAAGTGGTCAACTTGAATAGTATTTGCGAACTACACGGTCCACACTGACATTCTGATGACTGAAGAGATTCTCAGTTCCCCAACTGTGATGTCGACAGGATTACTGTTGAAAACCATCTATGAGTAAAATATGAGCGTGATGTCCTTTTAAGTTTTCTAGATATATCCACGAGAGAGATGACGTCATATTTAGAAGAATAATTCGTCATAAGGGTACACTGTGAACTCGGAAGTATTAAAATTACACTACTTTCCATCCGCTGAACTACAAACCAGGCTTAGTGGAATCCTTGTTCGATGGTACAAGAAACCAATAATATATAGATAAATATATGATATGTCAGCTCTCCCTGGAAAGCATTCATCTCATATCTTAGGAGAATTATTAGTGGATAAGGAAGACAATATGGAGATAAGTTGAGAAGAAGATATTTGTCACTTATTTGAATATTATGAGAGTTCAAATTTCAGAACAAGAGATCGGAAAGTGAAGAGTTGACGAAGTAGACTGCAACCCATCTAACGCGATCTTCAACTGCACATCTATAAATTCGCGTAAACTTATCAAATCAAGTATACCAAAAGGAGAGAAAGATGTTCTTCAATCCACTTTCGTGAAAATATTTCAAAACGTCATCGAATGCAAAACATGTCATACTTATTGGTTCATTTAGAGCAGCAACCAATCTTATGTTGTCTAGTCCTGACTGCTGATTGAATTCTGCTAGTCAGATTCACAATCTGGCCACCAAGCTAGATAACTCGTCATCATGATACATTCTAGTAGATGTCAGTTAGATGGAGGCAACCGATAGGAAGTCTTGGACCCACATTTCATGCTTTTTGGCGCTCGTCAGCGAAGCATATCTGTAACCTCTACAGAAATGATACCCCACTTTACCGGCGAATTCCCAAAGGCAAGATATCTAGGTCCAGTACCTCCTGCCAATCACCTCCATCCAAATAATATCTGTCAAAGTCCATCCTGGTGGTGAATCGCTTAGCCTGGTGTCCATATCACAAGACTAATAGATGGAATTGGATCAGCACTCAGGACTAGACTGAATGAAGTTGATTACCTTACAGACGGGACAACAATTACTCTGAGATCACGGATATATTTTGCTGAATAGTGCCAACAAGTACAAGACCCAGGACTTTTTGCTGATTGCCTTCATGCAGTCAATCAATATTTAATCCATTTACAAAATGTCCATAAAATAATTAGGCCAAGAGATGCTTCCTTTTTCTTAATCGACCATAGTTAAACGAACTCAACATAAACTCCATACATACAGAATGAGGCTAAAAATAATCAGACCTGACCCTTCTGACTGTCCTTTAATCTAATTACATAACACTTTGAAATTCACTAAATTCTATGTATTCTCAAGGCTGTCAACAGTTGAAGAGAAGTATAAGGATAAAAATAATTAATTTTGACCAATACAAGAACAAAGATACGTACAGAGTAAAATGAGCTCATTTCATCTCACTGCCTTTCATCAGCTGCAAATAGGCTGTAATTGAAATGAAATATTAGTAGTAATAAAAGCTTATATGGCAACAATCGCGAGGTCAAATACATAGGTCAAAGTAGTCGATCAGGGTCGATTAGGCTATCAGAACACAAAAACTTAGCTAGGTCAAAATTGGTAGATCCTAATAAGGTAGTGAATTTCGAAAAAAGCTCAGCCATAGCTATGCATGCGATCACACAACCACACAATCAGATGAATGAGACAGGGTGAAAATTCTTGAACTAACATAACAGGGTGGAGGGAGAGATTGATAACTGAATCTTTCTTTATCGAATCAAAACATGCAACAACAGGAATGACCCAGGACCTGTTGCAGATATATGGAAAATCTTACTGCTCATCTCACAAGGAGACGAGGAAATTAGGACTATATAAAAGATATCTCAAAGTTGATATGACTATAGAAAATAAATGATGTCCAAAACGTAATCCAGCAAACGATATTGTTACACTGTGTGATAAATCTAAAAAAATCAATAAATGAGAACATACTGCTGATGAGTGACTTACTACGAAATGGACGCTTTGAAGTTACAATACGAATTAGTTACCTATGGGATACGTTAAATTGAGGCATTTCCTATGCTTGTTAGTGATGCATCATCTTGTAAGTTGAATGTTTCATAGTCTATATGAGTCTCTTTCCCTTGAAATTTTCAAATCATGGAGTGTATCTGTAGTTCAAATGGATCATTTTGGTGGTGTTCTTTTTACCCTAAGTAGATGATTTGATAAAAACTTCTCATTATTTCAGAATTTTAGTTATAGTATATTGTGAACTGGATTAGGTTGAAAAATATGTCATAGTCTCAAAATCAGTGCAGGATCTGAAGCTTTTCCATTCGTTCTCTCGTCAATATGATGTATGAATTTCTGAACATTTTCAAACTTGAACAGAATAACTATACTGGTATAGCTCACATTTCTCTACGGTTCTAGGGCTGATGATGATTAGCTGAATATACATTTCTTTGATATTCTTTAAACAGTGGAATATGTAGGAAAAGACAAGACGTGGTCGCAGAGATGAAAAAATTTTCTTTTCAACAAATTCACCCACTAAGCTGTACATTCATAAATATATGCTACAGTGGGTAGAACGTCCGAGAATTATTGGCAGTTAGGGGGTATCATCATCATCAATATCAACATAGGACCAGGCAATACCGCATAACGGTCCGAGTTACCACACCTCATATCACTACTTCAAGTAAAAAGGCAGTGAAGTTGAAGATGAAGAAAAGAAAATTCAGTCAAAAGAAATATAAAGTACGAAAAGAAAGAAAGGAAGAATGAAAAAATGGTGAGATTCGGTATAGCATCATTAAGATGAGGATAATATGTGTATACATCTGCGCCACTGGCGTCGGTTCTGAGCCATAGAATCACCAAGAGTCTCCAACCACTGGTTTTCTTGTCCCGTGGACCCCAACCGGCTAGTCTGCATCGTCCTCCTCTCCCCCCATGGCTCAAACCAAAAGTTAGGGGGCAAAATATAATGAATATATCATAAAAGAAATTAATTAATATACGTTTGGGTTTAGAGTGGGAAAATAGATAAGGAATTGTGAAATTAAATATAATTACGCAATACAGGATGAATTATGGCAGGGTAGGAAAATGAACGAAGGGTTATAGAAATAGAATTGTGATTACGCAATACTGCACAAACCTATGATAGAACAGGAAAGTAAACAATGGATGAAGGAAATACAAAATGAATCTATGACAGTCAAGGCTTTATGATTGCCATGACAAAGATAAGGGTTGGTCATACCTTCATTGGACGCAAAACGCTGGTTTGAACTTCTGGATGACTAGTGCTTCAGCTATAGACAGATGCCTTGATCTTACTCCTATCGAGTGGTTTGATCGAACTCTGTAGGGAATTTTGAATGAATTGTCAAAAGGAACTAAGTAGCCTGAGTTTATGAGGTGTTCAGCTATTTAACTGAAGATACACTTCCGTTCTATGTTTGCTAGTCAAACTGGGTAGTGTTCACGGGCACGTTTTACAAGCGAATGCATAGTGCAGCCGATGTACTCAGCTCCACAACAGCAAGTAAACTGAGATACAGAAATTGATATAACTTGATACGTCGGCTTGTCTATCACACATCGACCAAATTGTTTCTTGTAAGAGAAAATAATCGGTCATACCATGCATCCGCGACTGTATGAAACTACTTACAGAGCATAATAAGTAGTTATGGCACAAACTTTTCAACTGCCAT